CCTCATCGCAGGTTCCAGTGGCGCGTGCTTCCTCAGGGGATGAAAAATTCCCCAACACTCTGCCAGATGTTCGTGGCAGAAGTGTTGAGACCAATCAGGCAGAAATACCCGCAGTCAATCATTTTCCATTATATGGACGATGTATTGATTTGCGCAAAAACTCAATTGGCAGTAAATGAGACTCTAAATTCGACAATTGCGGCCCTAAAGAACAAAGGATTGGAGGTATCCCCTGAAAAGATACAAAAGGAAGCACCATGGAGGTATCTCGGACTTCAAATTACTTCCAAAACCATTAGACCCCAATCAGTTTCAATTGACAAAAAGGTCCGAACTTTAAACGACCTTCAGAAGCTACTGGGAGCTATCAATTGGATCAGGCCTGTGTTGGGAATCACAACTGGGGAATTGCACCCCCTGTTCGAGCTGCTTAAAGGAGACGCTGATCTGTCCTCCCCCAGATTATTAACACCAGACGCGATACAAGCCCTTACCACTGTCGAAATGAAAATAAAACAGAGACAAACATTTAGGAGGATGGAGGGACTGCCATCCTCCTTGGTCATATTTAGGGAGCAACGTCAACCCCTAGCCCTCTTAGGGCAATTTATAAAAGACTACAAGGACTTTTGTTTATGGGAGTGGATGTTTCTTCCTCATCAATTTGGCAAAACAATCACTACAATAGTCGAAATGATTGGCAAAATAATAACCAAGGGTCGCACTAGGTGTTTAGAGCTCAGTGGAGAGGAACCAAACTTCATCTACCTCCCACTGACCTCTGAACACCTAGATCAACTGCTGCAAAGTTCTATTGATTTTCAGATCGCCATCGGGGGTTATCCGGGAGAGATCAAATTACACCTCCCGGCTTGCCCATTTATACAAAGATTAGTTCAAATTCCAATAAAATTGAAAATTATGCAATCGGAAATTCCCATAAAAAATGCCAAAACAGTTTTTACCGATGGCTCGGGGAGAACAGGAAATGCAGTCTTAGTATGGAAAGAAAAAGATAGTTGGCATCAAGATATTCATAAGGTACAAGGTTCTCCCCAAATAGTAGAACTTTCAGCAGTTGTGCGAACCTTTGAAATTTTCAGTAATGAACCTATAAACATAATTTCAGATTCGGCCTATGTTGTGGGTGTAGTGAAAAGAATTGAAAATTCGTATTTAAAGGATGTGACGAATCAAAATTTATTCAAATTGCTAACTAAATTATTGTTTCTTATAGAAAGAAGAGAATTCGAATATTACATCGTCCACACCCGATCACACACCACTCTACCCGGTCCTGTGGCGGAGGGAAACCAACTTGCCGATCATCTGGCGGGTATGGCTGTAACCCCCAATTTGTATCAACAGGCGAAACTTTCGCATGAGTTTTTCCACCAGAATGCGCGGTCGTTGCAAAAACAATTCGGCTTAAAATTATCCCAGGCGAAAGAAATCTTAAAAGCGTGCTCTGATTGCCAGATGTTTACACCTGTTGTTCCGGAAGGAACTAACCCAAGGGGTTTATCACCCTTGGAAATCTGGCAATCAGATGTCACCCATGTGGCAGAATTCGGTAAACTAAAATATGTGCATGTGTCTATTGACACATTCTCTAGAATGATTGTGGTCACCGCGCATCCTGGAGAAAGGAGTAGCCATGTCAAGAAACACTTCCTGTCTGCTTTCGCAAGGATGGGAGTTCCCAAACAAATAAAAACAGACAATGGACCCTCCTATGTGTCTGCAGACACGAAGAAGTTTCTTGAACAATGGGGGATACAACATATCACTGGAATCCCTCACAATCCCACGGGACAGGGTATAGTGGAGAGAGCACACCAAAATGTCAAAAATTTACTAAAAAAACAAAAAAGGGGGAGTATTGGCTTGTCCCCTCAAGAAAGATTGGAAAAAGTAATGTATGTCTTAAATTTTTTGAATATAATGGAAGAAACGGACACTCACTTAAACAAAAGTCCTGTTGACCGACATTTTAGAACCGTTTCTCCAACTTCGTCAGAATATAAAGCAAAAATAATGTACAAAGATCCTTTAACAGAAAGATGGACGGGCCCTTTCCCCTTAATCACCTGGGGAAAGGGCTACGTGTGTATTGCAGGCTCCGAAGGACCAAAGTGGGTCCCNGTGTATTGCAGGCTCCGAAGGACCAAAGTGGGTCCCCGCTCGGCGGATTAAGATCGCCCAAAACTAAGGAAGAAGAACAAAGAAAGAAGATCTCCATGCTGCCGCTACACCATCTCCTTCTGATTTTCATGATCATCGGGTTCGTCCCTCCTTGCGATATGATACCTCTGCGAGAGTGGATGAACCAACCCGACGAAAACTTGTGGGTAACACTGGCCAAGGCCACGGGCACGGACACCTTGTGCCTGTCCTTGACCAGTGCTGGAAGTCCCTTCCGTACATGCCTCGTAGGGATCCCCATCACCCCCGCAGAATGGAGCTCTTTCGTGTCGCAGACACGGAATAAGGGAGCCGGCCCACTCAACTCCCCCAATTTAGCTCAAACGATTGCAGCACTTAATTTTATTGACATCCCGTTCCAAGAAGTTGATTTATTAGGCTCATTACCCACCGTTGCTTGTGTTATTTTTCATCGTTATACCCAACCCATCTTATTTACTCCCTATAATGTGACTGCCAACAAGCCGCTTTACCGTGGGACCTCTTCGCCGTGGTGCAATAATTCAATTGCGACCACTATCCCGACGGAGCATGTTCCTCGGAACATGAGGCTACCGAAGGGATATTTCCTATTGTGCGGGGATCGGGCATGGCCAGGTATTAGAGCCTACCCGGAGGGAGGACCCTGCACAATTGGAAAGTTGGCCTTATTCAACCCGGCGAAGTTTGAATTGGATAATAAGCTCGTAATTGCGAAAAGTCAACATAAAAGGTCCCTTCGGGAAAAACGGAGTTGGTTTCCTAACATCCAAAAAGAGACGGAGCAATGGAGACTCCCTAAACCCCAACCTGCCCCAAGACCAGTCCCTAGGCCTGGTCAGACTCCAAAAGTCTCCCAAGTCCCAAAAACCTCCCCCCAACAATTTGGCTCCAAAACTGTGTATGTCCCACCACCACCACATGTGAGTGTTGGAGAGCCACACAATTGGCCCACACCTCTGCCCTTCCCAGAGGACTGTGACTCCAACATTCACATCTGGTCAAGGGTCAAGAACTTTTGGGCGTCCTTCCCTATCCCTGGGATAGGAACCGCACACGCTCTTTCTCTCNGAAGGACCAAAGTGGGTCCCTGCTCGGCGGATTAAGATCGCCCAAAGTTAAAGAAGAAGAACACGGAAAGAAGATCTCCATGCTGCCGCTTCACTATCTCCTCCTGATCTTCATAGCCATCGGGTTCGTCCCTCCTCGCGACACGATACCCCTGTGGGAGTGGATGAACCAACCCGACGAGAACTTGTGGGTAACGCTGGCCAAGGCCACAGGCACGGGCACCTTGTGCCTGTCCTTGGCCAGTGCTGGAAGCCCCTTCCGTACATGCCTCGTGGGGATCCCCATCACCCCCGCGGAATGGAGCTCTTTCGTGTCTCAGACACGGAATAAGGGAGCCGGCCCACTCAACTCCCCCAATTTGGCTCAGACGATTGCAGCACTTAATTTTATTGACATTCCGTTCCAAGAGATTGATTTATTAGGCTCAATACCCACCGTTGCTTGTATTATTTTTCATCGTTATACCCAACCCCTCTTATTTACTCCCTACAATGTGACTGCCAACAAGCCGCTTTACCGTGGGACCTCTTCGCCGTGGTGCAATAATTCAATTGCGACCACTATCCCGACGGAGCATGTTCCTCGGAACATGAAGTTTCCGAAGGGATATTTCCTATTGTGCGGAGATCGGGCATGGCCAGGTATTAGGGCCTACCCTGAGGGAGGACCGTGCACAGTAGGAAAGTTAGCCTTATTCAACCCGGCGAAGTTTGAATTGGACAATAAGGTCGTAATTGCGAAAAATCAACATAAAAGGTCCCTTCGGGAAAAGTGGAGTTGGTTTCCTAACATCCAAAAAGAGACAGAGCAATGGAGACTCCCTAAACCCCAGCCTGCCCCAAAACCAGTCTCCAGACCTGTCCAAACTCCAAAGGTTTCCCAAATCCCAAAAATCTCCCCCCAACAATTTGGCTCAAAAACTGTATATGTCCCACCACCACCACATGTGAGTGTTGGAGAGCCACACAACTGGCCCACACCTCTGCCCTTCCCAGAGGACTGTGACTCTAATATTCACATCTGGTCGAGGGTCAAGAACTTTTGGGCGTCCTTCCCTATCCCTGGGATAGGAACCGCACACGCTCTTTCTCTCCTAACGCACCTAGGATGCTGGTTGACTAAGGAGGCGAACGCTACCACCAGAGCGATTGAGGGTCTGCTGGAGGACACCCAAAAGTTGAAAGAGGTTAGTTTACAGAATCGAGCAGCCATTGACTTCCTTCTCTTAGCACACGGCCACGGGTGCCAAGAATTTGAAGGAATGTGTTGCATGAATTTCTCTGACCATGCCGAGTCAATCCATCAGAGTATCAACCAGCTAAAAGGTCTGGTCAGAGAAATTCACCAAGATAAAAGTAAAGGCCTCGATAACCTCTTTGATTGGCTTCAACTACCAAATTTTCCTAACTGGTCTAAAAAACTCATAATGTTAAGCCTTTTATTTCTTTTCGGTTTCGTTTCTATTTGTGCTATTTTGCCATGTTTGATTTTGTGTTTACGGAAACTGCTGCTGAGCACGATCGAAGCTAACATCGCTGCTGCTCAATCAAACAAAGAAGGGGGAGATGTTGAGGAACATCGAACCGAGTGGGAAGAGCTCCAGGCATGGAGGAGGATTTATAACCCAGAATAAGACTCTCCACACGTAAAAAGGATACTATTTCACTGGACTTTTCACTACTTTACCGGATTCGACACTACAATGGACTTGACAGTTTATCCCCAGTTATCCCCAGTTACC